AGAGGTTGTAACAAAGTTCCTGCAGATGGTACAGATGCAGCAAAGGATTTTTTTGTATGTACAAACCCATGGATTTCTTTTTCATTTTTAAAAATAGTTCATGAAAACATAAGTATGCATGCAGGACTAAAACGTCCCTCACAACACTTTCTAGTGAATATTTATTGATTCCATCACTTTTTTTGCTTTGTGACTTAAGTACTCTGAATCTCAATTTACTCATTTATAAAGTGAGGGAAATAATTGTACCTACAATACAGGTTTACTGGGAGAATCAAGTGCAAGACGAATATCTATCTATCTATTTATCTATCTATCTATCTATCTATCTATCTATCTATCTATCTATCATCTCTATATCTATTCATCCTCATCAAACATGGTGTCAGCACATAACAAGTGCTCAGTAAATCAGTAAATTATAGCTATAAGATTAGTAAGGGAATGGAACAAGGGGTTGTGGAAGTTTTTCCTCATGTGTTTCCTTGTGTTTGTCAGTTCAGAAAAAATGTCCTAAAACAGCATACATGTTGAAAGTGAAAACTACTTCAAAAGGATCTATTTGTAAAGCATAAAAATATTAACTTCTGTGCAGTTTATACTGGCAGATCCCCAACAGTTCAGAATTAACACCTGCTGTTTAGTGGATAGAAAATAGGTTTTGCTGTCATTGTAGATGTTCAAAATGTAAAAATGTGGGGAAATATTGAAAAAGTAAATACTTTGTCTGATATTAGATGCTGATGTAGGATTGGACCTTAGACAGGCTATATATAAGAACTTAAAAAATCTTCAGTGAAGTTTAATCCCTGTCTCTCCTACTGCTTACCCAGAGTAGAGTAAATGTTTTTGTTGTTTCTGCTGTTATACTTGAGCTTTGCCTCATCCCATTGCAGGAGCGGGACCTTGAAACCATCTAGCGATAGTCCAAGAAGCAGTCATTTCTTGCTGCATTATAGTTGTGGTAAATGGAAGAGAGAATCTTGCTGTTCATTTGACCTTCATAGATCCAACTGGAACTAACCACCTAATTTCTGAACCAAAATAAGTATAGAGAAAGTTTCATATGATATTAAACATGCTATCAAAGTTTACACAATATACCAGAAGAATAGTATCATCACATGCAGCATAAATATGCAAATATGCATTACCTTTTTATTGGAAACATTTTTTATTTTTTAAAATATTTTTATTGATATTAGAGAGGAAGGGAGAGGGAGAGAGAGAGATAGAAACATCAATGATAAGGGAGACTCATTGATGGGCTGCCTCCTGCATGACCCCTGCTGGGATCAGGTCCACAACCCAGGCATGTACCCTTGACTGGAATTGAACATGAACTCTTCAGTCCACAGGCCAATATTCTATCCACTTAGCCAAACCAGCTAGGACTAGAAACCTTTTTGTAAATCCTCACCTGAAGATACAGTTTTGTTGACTTTAGAAAGAGAGTAGAAGGGAGAGGGAGAGTGGGAGAGAGAACATTGATCAGTTGTCTCTCATTGTGCCCCAACTGGTGATCAAACCTGCAACCTGGGTATGTGCTCTGACTGAGAATGGGACCCATAACCCTTCAGTGCATGGGATGATGCCCCAATCAACAGAGCCACCTGGTCAGGGCTGCATTACCTTTTAACAAGTCCCAGAGTGCTTTGTCGTTTGGGAAAGGGATTGGTTTTCCATTTTATATATATAAATTATTGGGCTTAGTCTTAGGCAAAGGGCCTGTACTATAACTTACGTTTCCTTGTTCTCCTTACACTCCTCTCCACATTGTGGGGTTCTCCCTTGATTTTTCCCAGTTGGACCATGGTGACCTTAGCTTTTCTCCACAGCATCATCTCTAAATTTGGTCTTATTCTCCACATTTCCAGTAAGGTATAAAAGACTGATAATTAAGTTGTTGTGTTCGCTCCAAATAATATTCCCATTTTAGCAGGGGCCAATCTCAAGTGCATAGAAGAATGATCTGGGGTGGAATTTTCAATAGCATTCAATTTGAGGCTTGGACGGGTATGGTACAGTGGGGAGTGTTCGTGGTTATATATAATCTTCCAACTGCTCTGGAATCATAACCCTTAGGCATTGCCTTCTCTACTAGTCCCTAGAGACCTCTTCCAACTTCTGTGTAGTTTTTAGTGCTACAGAATAGGCTTGCAGTGAGAAGAACAGTGTCTGTGGGTAAACTCTAGTTTTCTAAAAAGGAAACTGTGCATAGTCCAGGCAACTTCCTTCAAGCAGACACAATGACTTTTGTTGATGCATATTTTATTTTTCCATCAGTTTATTTCCCCCCCCCCCCATTTAGTCAAGTACCAGTACAAGTGAATAATGCTTGTTGCCACATATGGGCAGTCAATTAACCTAGATAAGGAGCAACATAAAAAAGGGAAGTTTTTAAAAAAAAATATATTTTATTAATTTTTTACAGAGAGGAAGGGAGAGAGAGAGCTAGAAACATTGACGAGAGAGAAACATTGATTAGCTGCCTCCTGCACACCCCCCACCGGGGATGTGCCCTCAACCAAGGTACATGCCCTTGACCGGAATTGAACCTGGGACCTTTCAGTCCGCAGGCTGATGCTCTATCCACTGAGCAAACAGGTTTTGGAAAAAAAAAAAAAGGAAGGTTTTTAAAATATATATATTTTTATTGATTTCAGAGAAGAAGGGAGAGAGAGAGAAACATCAATGATGAGAGAGAATCATTGATCAGCTGCCTCTTTCACACCCCCTGCTGGGGTTTGAGCCCATAATCCAGGAATGTGTCCTTGACAGGAATCAAACCTGGGAGCCTTCAGTCCAGAGGCCAGCACTCTGTCCACTGAGCCAAACCAGCTAGGGCGGGAAGAAGGTTTTTATCAGACCATTTGCTTTCATGCCTTATTCTTCGAATATTTACTTATTATTATTTTAGATTCTACCCATGTCCACTCAACATACCCAACAAATGTATCCATATATACACACATATTCACATTCCTCTGAGGAATTATGAGGTAAAAATAAATGACTTTTTTTTTTTTTTTTTTTTTTTGCTTTGTTACTATTTTGGCAAACATGTCATTAAGCGAGAGTCAATAAGTCTGGAATCCCTTGGGTTACTAGATACTCTTACCAGCATCTACTGGAACTTCTTCACCCAAGCTTCGACAAACTAAAACAGAATGTCTATCAATTTATTCCTGGAAAACTTTGAAATACGTAGTAACACTCAGAAATATATTTGGATGGTAATATCATTTAACTATTTAGTAATATTGGTATTGGCCCTTTACTAAAAGTATATTAATGCCTCATTTTTTCTTAAATATATATTTATTGATTTCAGAGAGGAAAGGAGAGGGAGAGAGAGATAGAAGCATCAATAATGAGAGAGAATCATTGATTGGCTGCCTCCTGCACTCCCCCCTATTGGGGATCAAGCCCATAATCCAGGTTTATGCCCTTGATCAGAATTGAACCTGAGACCCTTCAGTCCGCAGGCTGATGCTCTATCTATTGAGCAAAATTGGCTAGGGATTAATGTCTCATTTTTTATGTGAAAGGGTTCTTTAATCATTTTAAGTTTGAACACAAAATATTTATTGATTAAGTGAATAGTTGAGCTGTGAATTCCAGAGAAGGCAGACTGATATAAACTCATATTTGCCTATATTATCTACTGAATGTCCCTTCACTCAAAAAAAAAAGATTTTTATTTTATAGATGATTTTAGATCTTCAGTAATATGTACACAAACAAGATAGGGTTAGGGTTAGGGTTGGAAAATTTTGTTTAGATATGGCTCCCACAAAACAGGCAGATTAGAAATGGAGCAAATGGCTTTACTTAATGGTAAGATAGATCCTTCAAAATGTTAGATCCAATCATGTTCCACATGAAAAGGTACATTCTATTTTCATCACCACATTTGTGTGTGTGTGTGGGGGGGATGGCAAAGAGGGATGTAAACTCAGACATCTTGGAACAAAATGTTTTTAGAGGTGCATTTCCATCCAGAAAGTGGGCATCTGGTTACTTACAGATGTACATATCTAGATCATTGACTGGCAGATTAATAGATTGTGCTTGTACTTGAGAATACTTCTAGTTTCAAATACACATATGTCAGACTAAAAGAAATTTTGATACATTTTAATATATTGAAGACATTTTAAAATTAGTAAATTTTCTTTAAAACAACAACTGACTGGTATCTTCACTAGGAACAGTTTGATATCAGAATTACAGTTAAGAATGGCAAAGTGAAATATTCTCTTTATTTAATGTTTTGTTGCTGACAGTTGAGTAGTATCAGAAAGGCCAAAAGTCATATCCAGGAAAGTCACTTAAGGCCAGGAAAAATCTATAAGTTCAGGCAGGCAGGGGTTCAAATTCATGAAGAATGGTTTAAGCAGCAGAAATCAGAAACAGGGGCTGGAAGAGAAATATCTGGGTGAAACATTTAGGCAATGTGGAATTGGGATCACAGGCTTTGGGATCCAGTGGGTGGCAGTGGGTAGGACAAAGAGCAGAGAGGAAAACACATCTGACAGTGCTCCTACTGAGTATAATGAATAAACTTTACAAATGAAAAAGTGTCAAAAAGGCTCCACCCTCTTTTTTGTCTACTTTTATGGACATTCTGTAGGTGATGTGCATTAACTGTAACTCATGCATACAACTTTCCTGTAACTGGATTAGAGTATTGATATGTTCAGATTACAAGAGTGGTCCTGAGTATGCACTGTGCATTTCCTGGTAAGCCCTGCGTTCTCATCTGGGCTCTCATTTCCCATTACTGCTTTGTTCTAACTCACTGCTGGCCTGCCAAATGTCGTTAGGCGACTCAGCTGTTGCTTTCATTTCTCCAAAAGGTATACAGAGGTTTGGGTCTTGGGTTTTACTTTTTTTTTTTTCTTCTTCTTAGAGCTAAAGGAAATGGTCTTTTGATAGTTGTGTTTGTTGAGTTGAATACTTATGGTATCTTATAGTTTCAATGTCCTTTCTCATAGGTATTTGATCCTGATGACCTTTATTCAGGAGTCAATTTCTCCAAGGTTCTGAGCACTCTTTTAGCTGTTAACAAAGCAACAGAAGGTAAGTAGGGATTGTGATTTATGAGTTTCTGGTTGACATGTTTGGATCCACATGTTTCTGATTACCCAAGAAGCTAACTATGGCCAGGATTGTTTGATTGGTGCAAAGTTCTCCCCTTCCACCAAATAAACTTAATGGGTGTCAAATGCTTTAATTTTTTATGGTTTTAGGATTTATTATTAATTTTTATTGAAGTGACACTGGTTAAAAAAGTTATACAGGTTTCAGGTGCACAATTCCACAACCCATTGTCTGTATGCTGTATTGTGTATTCACAAACCAAAGTCAAGTCTCCTTCCATCAGCACTTATCCCCATAGTCCATCCTCCAGCTCCTCCCCTCTCCCTCCCCCAACAATCATCACACTGCTGTATGTCTATGAGTTCTTTTTCTTTTTTCATTTTTTGTTCAATCCCTTCACTCCCCCACCCCAACAGCTGTCAACCTAATTTCTATCTGAGTCTGTCTCTATATTGCTTGTTAGTTCATTTTATCCATTAGAGTCCACACATGAGTGAAATCATATGGTACTTCTTTCATTGACTGGCTTATTTCACTCCACATAATGTTCTCCAATTCCATGATCTCACTCATTTATGGATTATAAGGAACATTATAAACTGATGAACAAAAAGATAGATACAGAGACAGTAAAGCAACAAACAGACTGTCAAATTACAGTGGGGAGGGGAGGGAGATATGGGGGAGATAAGAGATCAACATAAGGACTTGTATGCATGCATATATGCATAACCAATGGACGCAAAGCTCTGGGGAGGGAGGGCATGTATAGGAGTGGGGGGAACTGGTAAGATATATACACCTTAATAAATATAATATCTTAATAATTAAGATATAATACCTTAATAAAAAAAGAGAAAAAAAGAAATCATATGGTACTTGTCTTTCTCTGACTGGCTTATTTCACTTATAATGCTCTCCAGGTCCATTATGGTTTAGAATTTAAACATACCTATCACAGATGTCATTCTAATGCCCTTAATATAATGATAAGAATCAAGAAACTATTTCATTCAGCCTGGACTGGTTTGGCTCAGTGGATACAGCGTCGGCCTGCAGACTGAAAGGTCCCAGCTTCGATTCCAGTTGAGGGCATGTACCTTGGTTGCGGGCACATCCCCAGTAGGGAGTGTGCAAAAGGCAGCTGATCGATGATTCTCTCTCAGTTATGTTTCTAACTCTCTATCCCTCTCTCTTCCTCTCTGTGAAAAATCAATAAAATATATTTAAAAAAAAGAAACTATTTCATTCAAAGCTATTGAATATGCAACTGAGTGTAACAAGACCAAAAAGGAAAAGAAAACGACAAGTTCCCTTTTCCATAAAGTTTACAAAACTATAGCTGTTACTTCCCTCTCTCCACTAGAGACATTTTTCTCATTGTTTTTTTGTATGTCTTTGTCCATGTAAAGGAACCCCTTAAGAATCTTGCACTGGAAATGAAGCCTCAGATTCATAGTGAGTGAAAAGGGTATCTTTTATTTAGATCTTAATACCCACCACATTAGAGGCATTAAATATAAATCCTACTAATTGTGAAGAGAATGAAGATTACCTTAGAGCAGCAACTTTCAATCTTTTTTATCTCATGACACATATAAACTAACTACTAGCATTCTGTGGTACACCAAAAATCTATTATATTTTTGCCAATCTGACAAAAATAGGTATAATTTTTAAAAATATATATTTTATTGATTTTTTTACAGAGAGGAAGAGAGAGGGATAAAGAGTTAGAAACATCGATGAGAGAGAATCATCGATCAGCTGCCTCTTGTACACCTCCTACTGGGGATGTGCCCACAACCAAGGTACATGCCCTTGACCGGAATTGAACCCGGGACCTTTCAGTCCGCAGGTGACGCTCTATCCACTGAGCCAAACCGGTTTCGGCAAATAGGTATAATTTTTATTGATTTACAAAAAAAAAAAAAAAAAAAAAAGAAAAAAAAAAAAGAAAAAGAAAAAATAGTAATTACATACACTTTTTGCTCCAAAGTGACTTTAAAAAAAATCAGGTGCATGTATTTGTATATAAGGATTTCTGGTACCAAGAATTAACCAATCAGATGCAACCTTGTTATGCAACATGACCAATAAGATGTAACTTCATTATATGACCTATATATTTATGGTTCAAGACAGAGCATTCACACTGGATGACTATTGTTTTGGTTGTCAGTTTTTTATTTGACAATCTAAGGGAAAAGATGTTAGTAACCCTAACTAGTCAGGTATTGCAGGTCTTAAAAATTCTTGAAGCACACTGGTTGAAAATCACTGCCTTAGAGTATAATGTCACACTTTATGTGATATAGTATCTTACCTTCAAATGGGCAGTAACAATCATAAAGTGCTTTGAGCCCTTACCATGGATCTATTAATAGGCTGTCTTATGAGCCTTAAGTAGTCTCATTCAATCTTTGAAACAACCCTGCAAGTAGGTATTATTATTAGACCCATATTACAGATAAGGAAAGTCAGGCCCACACTTGCCCCTCTAGAAAGTATGTGGCAGAGTTGGGATTCAAACCCACATCTGATTGATTCCAGAGCTCTTATGCCTAAACATCAAGTCCTGATGCTCCAGCTATTGGAGAGTCAACAGAGTGTGCCCAGCATTGCCAGATACTACAAAGGAAGTGTAAGATATGGTCCCTGCTATTGAGAAAATTACCATCTATTTAGGGAGATTCAACTTACCCACGTGAGACAATTAGAGAAGAAGAGCAGACAATATAATCAAGTGCCAAATAGGATGGAGTATCTAGGAAGCTATCAAGTAATTATAGTTTTAGTCAAAAGAGCTGTATATAATAGCAATAAATGTAAAAATACTTCTCCAAAGTTGTTCTTTTGATATTTGGAAAAAATACTTTTGCACTTATTGCAAGGCGTAGAGCAGAAAGTACAGCTAATTCAAGTAACTAAATTTAACACACATGACAACTCTCTAGTTCTGGGCAGGGAGAACCGTATAATTCTAACATATGCCATGAAAATTATATGTTCCTTTGCCAAACACTCCTAGCAAGTTTTATAGTCTCTTCCCTCACCACAGATATTTATAAAATACAAGGAGGTGAAAGTTAAAACCCACAGTATCAAGAAAACTACTTGGATACTAAGCTTGTCGCCTAGGGAATGTTTGGGCTTTATACTTTTGCAGTTTATATCTTTTAAAAATAAATGGAGAGGAAAAGAACCGTCATTTGAATTTGTCAAGAAGCCAGCTCCTCTCTTTAGTACACTATCAGCATACTGAAAACATCTAGCTCAGCGCTGGTGGGATCAAATTTCATAAGGTCTCAAGGAAGGGAAGACTCTTGAGTTAGATTAAAAAAAATTATTTTAGTGTTAAGATTGCATCTTTCCCAGACACACTCACTCATTCTTGTTCTCCCTCCCCGCACCAGGCAAAGGGAGATTTCACATTCTATATGCCACACATATTGTTATATGTGAGGAAGAAAAGAACCAGTTAGTTATAGGCCAGAAAACAAAGATAGAAATTTGAAATATTTCAAAGTAATAAGAGCCACAAACAGCTGTCTGGTAACCAATATAGTTCTGCCTGGGCTAACAGGGCATACTGTTGCAATTGGCTCAGGAGGGAAGAGCTGTAGGGAAATGGGTTAAGAGAAAATGTGGCTCTGTCGCTGTTTTTCTTTCTACTGGAGAGCAATGGCCAGTAAGGTTAAGAAAAAGAAGTTGGCCACCAAAAAGGGAGGGGGGATGAAACACACTTGGCACATTCATAATGATGACAGAATTATAGCCAGGTTGCCTTTGATAGTGTTCTATAGAAGATAATGTTATGTTGTCGATGTTTTTCTGACACGAGTGGTTCCCTTTACCATGCCTTTTCCTCTTTTCACAGATCAACTATCAGAAAGACCATGTGGACGTTCCTCTTCTCTTAGTGCTGCTAATAGTTCTCAGACAAACCCACAGGGAGCAGTTTCTAGCACAGCTCCAAGGCTGCAAAGGCAGTCAAAGGCAGTGGTAAGTATTGTTCCCAATTCTCCCTGCCTGTTTGAAAATCCAACCAATTTGATTGATAACTCAGTTGAATTTCCATATGTAGTAAGATAGCCATCCTGTTTGCTCGGGGCGTCTGGAGAAAACTAATTTTAAACCTAGCACAAATTCAGGCTGGCCCCTGGGACAAATCAAAAGTATGCAAGAAAATCGAGGTTGAAGCTCCCAAATTCTCTCTCTTCCTAAAATGGAGCAAGTTGTTTAACTATGTATATATGTCATTATGACTACTTCCTGATGGCAGTTTACTGTTATTTTCCCCATCCTTCAGTTTATTAGGGGGAACTAAATAGTGCCTGTCATGTAGTAGTAATCAATATTACTTGCTATTGTCATTTTATTTTTCTCTTTGTACGTGTGTTGGGCCTATAATGAGCTCCTTGGCATTTAGTCTTAACGGGAACTTTTGTTTAGGAAGGAACACCCCATCTTTTGCTCTTTTGAGACAATATTTCTTGTCAAAGCCACCCACTTGCTTTAAGCTATCAAGAGCTATTACTTCCAAAACACTTTAATTACTTCCAAAGCACTTAACCTTTTGAGGTCACAGATCCCTTTGAGAAGCTCCTGAATACAATGGTTCTATATTTCTTGGACCCTCTCAAACTGTGTGCAAAATTTTCTGTGTGTGAACGTAGGGGAATAAGTGTTTTGGGAAAAGTTCAATTGTGCTCATCAGTTTCTCAAAGGGGCTTGTGAAAGATTAGGAACTACTGACTTAAGTAACTGTGGGGTATTTAATCTATGCCTATGACTAAGTCTCAGTCAATTTAAAATATTCTTAGTAATTGGGATGTGGGAGGCACATGTTATTAAAGTAGGTTAGTAACCTAATCTTGGTCATATAACCACATAAGATAGGTCTATGTATTGGGTAGGGGCAGGATGGACTACTGTACCACTCTCCTTTGTTTCCTGGATTATTTAAAATAAGTATCTTTATATAATTGATAGGGAGAGAGGGAAATGAAAGCTATGACTCCCTCCAAAATACAAAGTCTCACAAATACAAAAGTTTGCATACAATTTTGAGGAGTTTATTAGTTCCCACTGAGGCCTATCCATGTTAGGCCCACTCCTAAATTAAAAACACAAGACTGAGATGGCTCTGGGTTTTATCTTAGGTCACCCCACTCAATTTGCCTACGTTCATATAATTTCTGCCCCTGCCTCATTTAGATGCGTGCTTCATCTGGTATGGTTTTTGTTTCTTTAGGAGATGTCTGAAAATGGAAGTCACCAGTTGATAGTAAAGGCAAGATTCAACTTTAAGCAGACGAATGAAGATGAATTGTCAGTCTGTAAAGGGGACATCATTTACGTCACTAGAGTTGAAGAAGGAGGCTGGTGGGAAGGCACACTAAATGGGAGAACAGGCTGGTTCCCTAGTAATTATGTACGAGAGATTAAATCCAGTGGTAAGTGAATCTTTTATAAGCCTTTTTGAATGTGACTCTTGTACTTTCTTGGCATTCTACTGAAAATAATTGTAGTTTTAATTAGTTAACAGAAACTGTAATTGTATGTATGTCAAAAAATAAGACTAGAACAGAACTGGGAAAAATCTGTGATTAGATATTTTGAAATGAAGTTGTATTTATATTACAGCAAGGAAGAAAAAACACACCCACAAAACTAAAAAAGCAGTAGAATTCAAAGCTAAGACAACTGTTTCACCTTAACTATGAACCCTCTGTCTTCTAATTCTAGCCCATGTAACATTGTCCTTCCTGCTACTCTAAGAATCTCCATAGCAGAATACAATAAGAGAGTCCATGTGTTAACTTCCTTTTTTTAGCCCTAAACTCTTTAAGCAGGCCTAAGTCTGAATGCTTCAGAGATGTGTTCAAGAAATAATAATCATAGGATTGCAGAAAGCTATCTGGCCACTTTGATTCTGGATAAAATTACCCTTAACTTATTGCATACTGCTAACTGCTTACATTTTTCCTTTTCCTTTAAAAAATATATATGTATTTTTATTGATTTCAGAGAGGAAGGGAGAGGGAGAGAGAGATAGAAACAGCAATGATAGAGAATCATTGATCGGCTGCTTCCTGCATGCCCCCTACTGGGGATTGAGCCAGCAAACCAGGCATATGCCCTTTACCAGAATCAAACCCTTCAGTCTGCCAATGCTCTATCCACCAAGCCAAACTGGATAGGGACATTTTCATAATAATATCCAGAAAGTGAAGTCTAATTGCTCTTCAGTAGTGTTTCTAGAGCTTTCTTAGGTAATTTGCTTTTTATTATTTAAGAAGGTAGGTCCTGTCTATATTATACCCCCTCTGATATATAGAAATATGTTACAATTTAGATAAAATAGTGTTCAGTCATTCACATTATTATATTTCTTCACTTTTCAAAAATATTTACCCAAGGGCTCCTTTGAATAGTTCCTCAGTGCATTTTTGGGTATATATCTTTATTGCTTTTTAATGCCTCATAATTAATACTACTAATTAATAAAATTATAACTTCACTGTAAATAAATTAAAACATTACAGACATAGATAATTAAAATTTCTCTTCCTTTTACCCCTTCCCCAGATAACTACTTTTAGGAGCTTTTCCCTAAAGCATTTAAGATAAAATTTAGTTTGCACACTTTTCTGTGCAAATACACTTTCTATATTGTATGTTGGGTTAAGGGAAGGAGTATCTCCTTTAATGGAATAAATGTTATTAACAGATTTATAATTATATAGGCATGTGTAGACTTCTTAGCATTTTTTATTACTGAGAGTGAAGAAATTTTTGTTGAGCCCTGGAGTAATTTCACAGGCCTTGCCTAGAATTTTCTTGGTTTAGATGATTTTCATAGCTGATTTTTACCTCTGTGCTACATCTTTCAATTGGTATCATTTGATTGTTAGGATATGCACATAACTTTCTAGATTAACTCTGACTTTATTTTCTGATTCAGTGTCATCATCTTCAAAAGGCACAGCACTTGCTGCCTTTCCTTGGGAAGTGGGCAAACAGCATGCCCTCATTATAATGTCCTTCACTGACAAGCCTCATAGCACATTCTGGCCACTCCCTTATGGATTGCTCTAGGGCCTAGGCTATTTGTCCTGGTTTTGGACCCTTTCCTTGAAGTTTCTCCTATTTTTCTCTTTGGTCTGGAACTCAGTTAAGGACTCACATGGCAAACTCTGGCTCTGATTTGAATACCTATGTAACCCCTAGAAGCATTTTACCCAACTGTTCAGGTTAGGTCTGAACAGCTGGGGCCAGGTAGCCAGTTAAAAAATAGTAAAGTCACCCAGCCAGCATGGCTCAGTGGTTGAGTGTTGACCTATGAACCAGGAGGTCATGATAACCCAACCTCGATCCCCAGTATGGGGTGTACAGGAGGCAGCCAATCAATGATTCTCTCTCATCATTGATGTTTCTATCTCTCTCCTTTTCCTTTCTTCTCTGGAATCAATAAAGATATATTTTTAAAAATATAAAGCCAAGGTCCTCCCATTAACCTACAGGGCCATACAGGATTTGGCTTCCCATTGTCCCTCTGATTTCCTCTCTGTGTTCTCTCCCTCTCACTCATTCCATTGCAGCCACACCAGCCTTCAGCCTCCTGGTTGCCTATGCCAGATAGGTACCTGTCTCACTTGCTGTCTCTCTGCCTGGAACACTGTCATGGCAGAATCATCATGACTGATTCAGTCACTTTCTTTAGATCTTTGCTTACTTATCAACTCCACAGTAGGGTCTTCCCTGGCCACCTGAGAGAAGATTGAACTCTATTCTCACTGCCCCACACCCCTTCTCTGCTTTATATTTTTGTTTGCCGTTTTCTCTAACACAGAGTACACATTTACTTATTTCATGTCTGAATATTACCATTAAAATTTAAGTTCTGTGAGAGTAGAGTTTTTTGTTTAATTTATACTCAGTAATCATTTGTAAAGTGAATGAATATTGTAGGGTAGTCATTAAGTTCTGTTCAGATTGTTTATTGAGCATCTCCTAAGTACTGGTTTGAAAGGGCTATAATAATCTGTTTTCATGAACCCTACCTTCAAGGACTTGCTACTCTAGTAGTCAAGATAGGTGTGTACAGAATCAACTATAACAAGATAGGACAGCATAAGTAATACAGACAAAGCTCTAAGTAAGATGCTGTGGAACCAGTAAAGAAATGGTTCAATTACCAATAATCTTAAGGGGTGGGGAAAATGTATTTGAATTGGGTCTTGAAGAATGGAATGAAGATTATGACTAGTGGAAGAAAGTTAGAGAGTTAGTAAGTTTAAGCATGAAAATAGGAGATCATAGGGTAGGTGGTAGGATGATTTGAGAGTAAGGTGAACAAAGAGGAATGGGGCCTTGAGCTGGAGCTACACTAAGAGGGGTGTCAGTGCAGGGGATAATATGTGGTTTAGAAAGATCTTTCTAGTGATAGTGTGGGGGCTGGATTGCAGGGAAGTGGTGAGGATAACCAAGGAGGTTGTGAGGAAACCAGTAGAGATAACTGCTGAGGTCCAGGCAATCCAATAGTGGTGTGGGCTATTTCTGTGAGAGTGGAGAGGAAGAGAAAGTGGATGTATGCAGTACTGTTAAAATGGAATCAAGAAAATGTGCTGATGATTAGTTATGAGAAAAAGGGAAGAGATGAGAATAATTGCAAATCTAAGGGACTGCCTTGATGGTGAGTTCCTTAGGGACATGCAGTGTTAATCCACTTAGCCAACCAGCAAAAGTTTTTACCCTGTGACTTAGATCTTAGTCTTTCCTAGGCACTGGAGAGGCAGAGAAACATAAGACATGAATCTTGCCTTCATGGTGTTCATAATATAGTGAGGGGGTGAAATAAAAATGCAATGTGAAAGATTAGTGATAGAGCTAAATACAGGGTGTTTTGAAGAATGGTGAGCAGAAGAGAGGTGACTAATTCCTCCTGACAGGGAAGTCAAGGGAGACTAATTCATCTTTGTATACCTCTCTGTCTCCATAGTGCCCAACAGTGGTTTAGACATTGAAAATGTTTGATAAGTGCTGACCTCCATTAATAGAAAAGATAGGGAAAATAGGAGGAGAAGGTGTGTGTGTGTGTGTGTGTGTGTGTGTGTGTGTGTGTATGTGTGTTTGTGTTGGGTTACTGGCACTGAAGATGATGAGTTATTATTTTGGGCATATTGAGTGGAGGTGCCAGCAAATCATAGTTCTGAAGATTTTCTACAAATAGTCGGCAGTGTGGATTTAGAGCATGCGAGAGATAGAAGAGCTGAAGATGAAACTGACAACTGACAGTATAAAGTGGTAGATGATGAAGCATAAAATATACAGCAGATCATCAATGGACAGAGAATGCACTGTGACTGGAGAGGATGGAGAAGGCTTCACAGAGAAGGTAGGGCTTGAATTGAACCTCAGAGACATGTAAACTGTGGGTAGGCCTAAAAGAGAGTGGGAGACAATCTAAGTCAGTGATTTATCAGAAAGAACAAAACCACAAAGGATCTGCAGTAGGATTGAGCAGAATGAGTTTGGAGAACAGTGGGAGAGATTAGCTTGATGTAATGAAAATGTCTTGTTAGGAAAGTAGGTATCAGCTCTTTGTTGACTTAAATTCTTTCTATCCCAACTCTTCATACTACAAGAGTGAGTAGAATACTGCTGAGGGACATATTTATTTATTTATTTATTTATTTATTTATTTATTTATTTATTTAAAAATCCTTTATTGATTAAGGTATTACATATGTGTCCTTATTCCCCCATTACCCCCACCCCCCATTCATGTTCCCACTCTCCTGTTGTCTGTGTCCATCGTTTATCTTCTTCGCATGCATATAAGTCCTTTGGTTGATCTCTTCCCCTTACCCCCACCATCCCCTACCTTCCCTGAGGTTTGATGTTCTGATTGATGTCTCTCTGTCTCTGGATCTTTTTTGTTCATCAGTTTATGTTGTTCATTATATTCCATAAATGAGTGAGATCATGTGATATTTATCTTTCTCTGACTGGCTTATTTCACTTAGCATAATGCCTTCCATCCCCATCCATGTTGTTGCAAATGGTAAGAACTTCTTTTTTACCGCAGCATAGTATTCCATTGTGTAGATGTACTATAGTTTTTTATTATTTAATTTTTTAAATTTTGTGTTATTGTTTAAAGTATTACATATAGTAGTACATATAGCTCCTCCCCCCCATAGATCTTCCCCCAGCTTCCTCTACCCCCTGTCAAATACCCTCATCCCCCTCTACAGTTTTTTAATCCACTCATCAGCTGATGGGCACTTAGGCTGTTTCAAAATCTTAGCTATGGTGAATTGTGCTGCTATGAACATAAGGGTGCATATATTCTTTCTGATTCGTGTTTCTAGTTACTTGGGATATATTCCTAGAAGTGGGATCACTGGGTTAAATGGGAGTTTCATTTTTAGTATTTTGAGGAAACTCC